AAAATCAAGAGCTGGATGCTCAACCCACTGGGCCACCCAGGCACCCCAGAAAATTAAACTATTTGACCCATCAATTCCACACCTAAGAATTTACCAAAGAAAAATGAAAATGTATGCCTACAAAAGGTTGTACAAAAATATTCATAGTAACTATTAATATTAACTCTAAACTGGAAATAGCTCCCATCAATGGCAAAACAGATAACAAAACTGTGACATATAACACAATATCATTCAACAATAAAAGAGAAAAAAACTAAGGGTATATGCAACAAGATAAATGACTCTCAAAAACCTTATGCTGAGTAGAAGAATTCTACCACAAAAGAGTACATATGATTGCATTTATACAAAATTTCAGAACAGTTAAAACTAATCTATAGTAGAAAGTCAGAAGAGTAGTAACCTTTGAAGATGGGAGAGGGAACTGAGTGAGAAAGGGCGCAAGAAAACTTCCCAGGGTGATGGTAATATACTACGGCTCGGGTTACATAATTGTATGCATTTGTCAAAGTTTATGATTTGTGCATTTTATTTTATGTAAATATTTTCTCAAAAGAAAAAAACTATAATGAAACACTGAACTCTACTTATTTATATGCATACTTCAGTGTTTAGAGGGAAATATGTTAAGGCCTGCAATTCAGTTTGAAAAGTATCAAGAAAAATTAAAATGGAATGAAGGCTGGATAGATGGGTCAATCTGTGCTAAAGCAAGTAAAATAAAATATTCATGGTAGAATCTAGGTGGTGGGAAAATGAGTATTGAACATAGAATTCTCTGACCCTGCTTTATGTTGGAAGATTTTTCACAATAAAATATTAGGAAAAAAGTAAAGAATGTTGGGAAACCACACGCCTACCAAGGGCTTAAAGAACAGAGTAAGTATTTTCCACATTAGGGAACATGTAGGCCTATTTCTTGTTCTGGGTTTTACAAGAGACTATGTTGAAGATTAAAATTTTCAAATAGAAATATGGTCAGTTATATAAAACTGCAACTTGATAAATGTTTTGCTCACAGATGTCCTAACAAAACTTATTTTTACTGTTCCTATGATGGACTGTTTTTTTTTTCATGGCTTTAAATGTTGCAGTTGTGTTACTTGTCATGACATTTTCCTGAGACAGAGCTGAGATAAATTTAAGGATCAAAGAGCTCCAAGTGATTTTATAGATATTATCTTATGTATCCTTGAAGTAGTTCTAAAAGACTCTAGTTGAGCAAGCACTATTATGTCCATTTTACAGACAGAGAAAACAGGACAGAGAAATTAAGGGATTTATTTAAGGTCCTAGGACACAAATGGCACCTATAATAATAGTATACTGAAAGCTTACTATGTCAATTTTACTATCATCCTTTTATTTAATCTGCACATAAGCTTTCATTTTATACAGCAGGAAACCAAGGCTTACAGAAAACAAATAGGTTGGCCAAAGTGACAAAGTCCATCATCCTAACTTCTATCTAATTAGCTAATGGGTTCTGAACATTTTTTCTACTATGACATATAGGATAGATGTTCACAATCCTGTGGACATAACTGAAGTTATGCATAATTTTGCCAGGTACTGGTAATTCTACTGCTTCTCTTTTTCTCCAGAAAGCACAATGGAATGCAAGTAAGAGTGATACAGAAATAACCTTGAATCTCTACCGATTTATATTTTACAAAAAGCAAATTATCTACAAATTTTAGTATTTCAAGTAAAATGAGAAACAAATTACTTTGCAGTATTAAGACTGAGAATCTGCAATAGTCTGAATCTTCTAAGACTTTTCCTTGTATAGTAAGTATATCATGTTCCGGGAGACTGACCATCTTAATGAAGAGTAAGGTGTGATACAAATCTTGTAGCCTAAACTGCCCTCTCCAACTGGTTATGAAGACCTATTTCAAACGTGATCATGCACCAGATGTCTCTAGGATTTAGCATGAATGCTACAGAGAATGCAGCCCCGTATTTTAACGAAGGCCAAGGTTACTCAGCTCTAAAAGATGTCTAAGTAGAAGGTAAAGTAGCACAACCTTTGGTAATGCAGCCAAGTCATATCCCCTTCTTCTTTTTTTCCCCTCCACTCTCACAACCCTAAGTTCTGTAGAAACTTTGTAATACTTAGCCTTTTTCTCTAATACCCAGCTATATCAGCAGCACTACAGGTGTTAAAAACCTAACCCTTACTGTGATATTAGGAGATGGGGCCCTTGGGAGGTGATAAGATCTTGAGGGCAGAGACCTCATGAATGAGGTAAGTGCTCTTATAAAAGAGACCCCAGAGAGCTTAGCTCTAGACTCTTCTGCCCTTGAGGACACAGCAAGAAGACAGCCATCTATGAATCAGGAAGCCGGCCCTCACCAGACACCGATTCTGCTGGCATCTTATCTTGGACTTCCTATCTTCTACCAGAACTATGAAGAATAACTTTCTGTTTGTTTATGAGCCGCCCCCCGCGCCGTCTATGGTATTTCGTTATAGCAGCCACAACAGACTAACACAAGAGATATCTATTCTCATTCTCAGAAATGATTTATGATGAAGAGACTTAGCCTGAAAATATTCCTCAGTCTGACAACCAGCTGACAAATTTAGTTGCTGTTTGTTCTTTATCACATTGTTTCTCTATTCTAGTTCCTTCTTTGTGGTCCCTACTAATTTTTTTAAGTCCATGAGTAACCAAAGGCTCTACATAAATGTATCTCATTTGAAGAAAAAAAATTAATTTTGATTCAAGAGGCAGAGGTGATTACTTTACAAATTAAATTCTTACTTTATGAAAAAAATAGAGCAATTCTTTAAAGACCAAGTTATGTTGTATTTAGATATGATTTAATGTGCACACAATCTTTCACGAATAAATCTATATGTAACTTGAAACAATTTCTATAAAATCTTGAACTTTTAAAAGAAAGCAAACAAAAACAATACAAATATATCAGAATATAATTTTCAAAATGTGTATATATAGTTGGCAGTTAAGACTTCTTTAAGCTACTCTTTCTTAAGAACCTACTATGTTCTGTGCAAAGAACCTGGCTCTGTGCAAAGGGCTTCATATGTATTGTCTCATTTAATCTGCACAGTGAGTATTCGCCTTCTTTTTTTTTAAAATTTTTTAAAAAGACTTTATTTATTTATTTGACAGAGAGAGAGCACGCAAGAGAACATAAGCAGGGGGAATGGTAGAAGGAGAGGGAGAAGCAGGCTCCCTGACGAGCAAGAAGCCCAATGCGGGACTTAATCCCAGGACCCTGGGATCATGCCCTGAGCCGAAGGCAGACACTTAACCAAATGTGCCACCCAGGCACCTGTCTTTCTTTTTTTTAAATAGATAAGGATATAGTGGTTTATGGAGGTGAAAGTATTTGCTTAGAGCCTTCTTTTCAGCAGGTCACCCTAATTAGGATTGTCTGATTTCCACAAGAAGGTCTATCTGATTGCAGAGCTCAACTCTTTCTAGTATATCACACAACATATTACAGAGTAGGATCTTTAATGTCCCTATGGCCTAAAATGCCCAATGTTGGGGCGCCTGGGTGGCTCAGTTGGTTAAGTGTCTGCCTTTGGCTTGGGAATGATTCCGGGGTCCCAGGATCAAGTCCTGCATCGGGCTCCCTGCTCAGCGGGGGAGTCTGCTTCTCCCTCTGCTCCTCCCCCTGCTCATGCTCTCTCTCACTTTCTCTCTCTCTCAAAAAAATAAATAAATAAACTTTTATTTTTTATTTTTTTTTAAAGATTTTATTTATTTATTTGAGAGAGAGAATGAGAGATAGAGAGCACGAGAGGGAGGAGGGTCAGAGGGAGAAGCAGACTCCCTGCCGAGCAGGGAGCCCGATGTGGGACTCGATCCCGGGACTCCAGGATCATGACCTGAGCCGAAGGCAGTCGCCCAACCAACTGAGCCACACAGGCGCCCCAATAAATAAACTTTTAAAAAAATGTCCACAGTCACTCAACCTCTTGCTGTCTTCTTGTGATCCATCCCATCCTGACTGGACACCTGTCTGTGCATTCAGATCAGAAGAGACCATAAAAGTGAAAGTACATTATAAAAAGTCTGGCCCTTGCCTAGGTTTCTGGATAAGTTCATCTCTCTCTCTCCCTTTTCCCCCCTAAAGTCTAGTCTAATTAGGTTTACCAGCACCATTTCATGCAATCACTGAAGACAAAGTCAGAGAACCCAACTGGTTATAGAACTATGAGGGACATAAGAAATTATTCAATCCAACTCTCTCTTTTTACAAATAAGGAAACTCAAGTCAAGAGATGCCAACTTGGGGAGACGAACCATGAGAGACGATGGACTCTGAAAAACAAACTGAGGGTTCTAGAGGGGAGGGGGGTGGGGGGATGGGTTAGCCTGGTGATGGGTATTAAAGAGGGCACATTCTGCGTGGAGCACTGGGTGTTATGCACAAACAATGAATCATGGAACACTACATCAAGAACTAATGATGTAATGTATGGTGATTAACATAACAATAAAAAATTAAAAAAAAAAAAGAGATGCCAACTTGCCAGGGTCACACTGCTAGTTGATGCAGCCATATCTATAATCAGATCTCTGACTCTATGTTATCTACAATATAAGGAGTTTCCATCTGAGGGGACATTTAAGATTTCTTTAATAATGTTTTTAAAATGATAAAGTAACTTCATAGTGAGAAAAGTACTAAAACTCCAGGAAAGTATAAAATGAACAGTAGAAGCCCCTTCTCTCCTTCTACCTTCTAATCTTATTTCACTCCCTGGGAGTAACCAGCATTAAATTTCTTGTGTGTTTGTCCCAAATTTTTCTATATATGTATATGTACATATATTTGTGAAGCAATTTAAATATGGAACTCCAAAAATTATTCTTTCATCTCAGGCTGATGTTTTGCTCTGTATAATGTAGTCAACAGTCATATTATTAATAATATGCATAAGCAATATTACAACATGTCCCTAAGTTTGTAAAGCCTTAAGTTTGATATTCTCCTTAGGTACAGCTCACCTGTTTTCCAGATCCGGCATGCTTAAGTTTCTAGCAGCAAAGCACATTTTGAGAGGGATGACCTTCCTGTCCTTGGTGCTGTTCTGGTGTTTTGGAGAACCAGAGTCCTCACTGCCACTAAAGCTTGGTGACTGAGGAGATGCACCTTCCCATGGTAGATCTGATACTAATGATGGCTTCTTGATATATGGTGTTACTTCTCGGATGAACTTGACTACGAACAAAAATCAAAGAAGAAGGTTACTGTTTTTGCTTCCTGTGAAAAAAGACAACTGAAATACATACATACATGTAATATCTGCCAGGAAGTGAAAAAAGACACTAAGTTAAAGAGCCAGAACACAGAATCTTAGGATTGGAGGTATTTTAAGGCTACCTAATCCAAATGAAATACCACTACTGTATTCTGAAAAGTTTAACTTCTGCACTTTTGCATGTATTTTTCCTTCTGGTTAGGACTCCTCTCTCTCTATCTGCCTGGTCACTCTACTTCAGAGTCACCTCCTCAGCAACCTTTCCTGTTAACTCTCCAGGGTATTACTTAAACCTCTGTAACAACCTCTTAGCACCCTGGGTTGTAATCCTTTGCTAATGCTTCCGTTCACCTGCTGGGTCTGAGTTCTTCGAGGGCAGAAAGTATGATGTATTCAGTCTTAGTATCCCACACCTAGGACAGTGTGTGCTCAATACATGTTTGCAGAAATGAGTAAAGAAACAAATGGGGGCGTCTCGGTGGCTCATTTGGTTAAGCATCTGACTTCGGCTCAGGTCATGATCTCAGTGTCCTGGGATGGATCCCTGCATTGGGCTCCCTGCTCAGGAGGGAGCCTGCTTCTCCCTCTCCCTCTGCCCCTCCCCCTGCTCGTGCTTTCTCTCTCTCAAATAAATAAATATCTTTAAAAAATAAAAATTAAGAAAATTCCCCAAGATGTGAAAAAGAAAGAAACCAATGAACAATTAAATACTTGAATTATTTCCATAGTTGACCGGCCATGTGTGAATCTCCTGGTGACAGAATCAGTATCTCCTGAGACAAGGCCACTTAGCTTTAGACAGCTCAACATTCAGAAAATTCTTGAAACTTCCACCTACTGGTTTGCAGTCTACTGAAGCATACAGAAAAACCTCAACCTCTTTCACATGAGAACATTTCAATTATCTAAAAACTGAGATTATTTCTCTCTCTCTTCTCCCAACTAAGCTAAATATCTCTATTTCAATTCAATTCAGCTCAACCAATATTTTTAGCTACCTACCAACTGCCGGGAATTAGGCTACCCACTAAGAATACAGTAACAAATGAAGAAGCATGGACTCTGCCCAATCTAGTAAGGGAGACAGCTTTATAAACAGATCATTAAACAAATACAAAAATAAAGTGTATTCAAGGTAAGGTACTTTGATTAATGGTAGCCCTAAATTAAAACATAGCTTTTAGTATATGGCAAATTTTTTTTCTTTTTAAGTTCAATTTTAAGACCCATAAAATACTTCTTTGACCTCAGTCATGACTGGCAACTGCTGTCATTTGAGGCATGGTGTTCTTGTTTCAAAAAACAGATAAACCGAGGATTATTAAAATTTCAAGTGGCATTAAAAATGTAAATAGTTGAATGCAGAATGTAGTCATCACTACCTCTGCTATCATGATATATTATATCAGTATTCTACTTCCCTCTCAAATTCTTTTTTTTTTTTTTAAAGATTTTATTTATTTATTTGACAGAGAGAAAGCACAAGCAGGGGGAGCGGCAGGCAGAGGGAGAGGGAGAAGCAGGCTCCCCGTGGAGCAGGGAGCCCAATGCGGGGCTCGATCCCGGGAACCCATGATCACAACCTAAGCCAAAGGCAGATGCTTAACCGACTGAGCCGCCCAGGTGCCTCTCCCTCTCAAATTCTACCGTGGTAGGTAATTAGAGTAGTATCATGGGAATTGAAAAACTAGAAAGATATAATTATTATCAATGCTTATCAATATCATAATAGTATTAATATCCTACAGCATTGGAAGCTTTACAAGCTGGGGTGCCTAGGTGGCTCAGTCAATTAACTGGCTAAGTCGTGATTTCTGCTCAGGTCATGATGTTTAACCAACTGAGCCACCCAGGTGCCCCTAAAGGATTTTATAATAAAACATCCAGATTTCTTTTTTTTGTTTGTTTGTTTGTTTTGTTGGATAGGTTCTATTATTAATAAGTTGGGAAATATTTTGCAAATTTACTCCCCATGAGTCATATTTACAGGATATTTTTGTTGAAACAGGAGCTATGTGCAGATTAAACTGTTTTCCCAAAACTTCTTCTTCCTCTCCAGTCAATGGTTTATTATCGATGAATATTATTTCCTGCAAGTGTTTATCTTGGATTTTCTTGTTCCTCTTCATCAGGTCATCATCTCTGTAATCTTCTCGGTGGCTCTGGTTTGAGAATTCTTCCTCTAAGAACCAAGGCTCCTCTCCTTGCTCCAACTTGAAGATTACGGCTGGTTTGAAAATGCAGTTCCCCACTGAGACTAGGTTGTTTTAGTTCTCCAGCATCACATCTCTATACAGGGTCCTCTGAATAGGACCCATTTGCTGCCACTCCTCTTGGGTGAATTCCACAGTCACGTCCTTGAATGACACTGATGCCTGAGATGTGTTCATTTTCTGCTGTTGTTGGGAGAGTACAGAGAACTGTGACGGATAAGCTTCTGCAAGCTGGTCCAGTTTCCACTGTCACACAGTCTGTGATAGCTTCTGGATGTGGTGACATCACCAAGTCTAGCTCTTTCTGGACAAGGTAAATAAGAACTGCTTCTGGTGGAGCAAATTAGGACCCACTCCTTTCTGGGTTCTTCTGCATGTTCTGAAGCTCTGGTGAGGGTGGTTCCTGTTAGATGAGCTCTTCTTCCAGGTGGGACTCCTGTCCCCAGGGCTCCTCTCTTCCCTGTCACACAAGAGCTACTTTGTTCCAGACGTTGAGACTTAAGCCTGAGGGCAAAAGGGCCCTCTTTTTTTTTTTTTTAAGATTTTATTTATTTATTTGACAGAGAGAGACACAGCAAAAGAGGGAACACAAGCAGGGGGAGTGGGAGAGGGAGAAGGCTTCCCGCGGAGCAGGGAGCCCGATGTGGGGCTAGATCCCAGGACCCTGGGATCATAACCTGGGACAAAGGCAAACACTTAACCGACTGAGCCACCCTGGTGCCCCAAAACACCTAGATTTCTAGCAGCCCAATTCCCATCCCTGGAGGCAACCATTATATGGTCTTCCAGACATACGCTAGATATGCTAAGCATATGTAAAAATAAACACACACATGTACATATATGTATTCATACATATACTTCACATAATGGTAGTATATAATGCTTATTGCTCTGAACCTTGCTTTTTTTACTTAATAATACTAATAATAGTTTTTTATAAGCCCAGCATTCTGCAGCTCATTCTATAGCATGATGAGGTTACAGACCTTTTGCCTCAGATGGACCTGGTTCAAATACCAACTGTGTTTTCTACCTCAGAGCTACTTGACTGTTCTGAGGTCCTCATCTATAAAATAGAATTAACACTAAACAAGTAAAAGTAAAAGTTTCAGTAAAATAGTATGTGCCTTTCTTTTCTTTTAAGTTTTTATTTATTTATTTAAGTAATCTCTACACCCAACGTCACGATGCATGCCAGGTGTCCAACATGTCTTTTTTTTCCTTCCCTAAACTAAACAGTTAGAAAAGTTAAAAAATTTTAATAGCAATTAGTAGAAACTTGGTGAAATTATTGTCTTATAAGTTATTAAACAAGATCTGCTGAAATTAAGCATAATCCTAGAAAATATAAAGTATTTTTTAAAATCCTAGAAAATATAATAATGCTAATGTCAGAATTTAGATATAGTTTATGTGTGTTTGTATATGTGTGTGCGCTTTCTATGCAGTTATAATACATGCATTTCTAGGAGAAGGTAAAAGCTAGCTGCCTCAGGTCACCAAGGAGATTTTTTCATCCTAGAAAAATAAGCAAGACTGCAGCCAGTATATCCCTTGAACGGCTGACTCAGGCATTTCAATACATGCTTTAGTTCTGTGCTTTCAAGAGAGGATTAGATCACAAGAACTTCAGCAGAAATTCCTAAGTTTCCAGTCATGGCTAATGGCAGAGACTTGCTTTGTGAACATTTAAGGCAGTATACCAACTATTGGGCTACCAATCAGAGGAAATTAAAGGCATTCTAAATGACTACTCTTGAATATTATAGTAGTGTAAAAGGACCCTTCATGATCTACTCATTCCAATTTTAGTATATGTGCTGCCGAAGCGAGCACCTTCATGATCTACTCAGAAGTTCATTCAGTCACACAGTAGCATCACTGAACTGATGACTGCACATATATTTAAGACAGACACACATACACAGCCTATTTCATGGCCTTATGAAAGAGCAGCAGTTTCACTTGAATTGATGTCAATGACGCCCATACCCCAATCGAACTGGCCATCCATAATGGCTCAAGAACTGTGAATAGACATCTGTTTGTAATTTACCTGAGATTTGGGAGAGGTGGAAAGTTAACAGTGTTCTGTTCTAGTCCTATAATTAGACCTCTCCAGTTACCACAGTACTCTCACCTGGATACCTGGCTGGATTAGTAAAGACTCTACACCCCTACATGGAATTCAGTTCAACTCAGAACCCACAATATATTTCAGAATTATTTCATTTTTCCTGATAGTTGAAGATTATCCTCAAAATGTTTAATGAAACACTGATGTTTGCACTGTTTTAGGTGCTTAGATGTTGAAGTTAATTTCCTTTCTTCCACGTACTGATCACTCTTATTAAAAATGAAAGAGTCTTCCCCTCACCTTAAGAGCATCACTATAACCCCTTTTCATGAGAGTGACAAAAACATATATATGTACTGTTCACACGTGTGGAAAGATGTCTGGAAGGATTTTCATCAAAATATCGATAGTGCTTATATGTAGGTGTAGGATCGCCTTCTTTTCTTTATACAGTTCTATGTATTTGAAATTCTTATGAGTCCATATAACTTATACCCCCCAAAAAACACTTAAGAAATGAAGAAAATTTATTCTGAAATCTTGCTCATTTTTTTTTTTAAAGATTTTACTTACTTATTTGAGAGAGAGAGAGCATGAGAGGGGGTACGGTCAGAGGGAGAAGCAGACTCCCCGCTGAGTGGGGAGCCCAATGCGGGACTTGATCCCA